AATCTCCTGACATCCCTTGATTTAAGTACAGTTTTCCCTGGCCTACATCTTCACACTGCTTGCAATATCCTCTTTGATCTAAGTGAATGCAAAGTGAAGACAATTCAACTTTCTGTTCAGGACAACGGCAACATTTTAGTTATGTTCCTCTTCAGTCTGTTCTGCTGCCAAAAAAGTAAAATTGAAGGTCAAAGAACACATAGAAAGAATTCTACTTTTTTTTATTTACCTCTTCAGACTTCCTGGAAGTCGCCATATCTTCTTGAGATACACACGTATTAGGCAGAGTGTGGGAAATGGGAATATGCAGGCCACAGAAGGTACAAAGTGGTAGATCAGAAAAAAATAAATACTTATTGCACATCTTTTTGCCTTTCTGCAATGTGGTTCTGGAATTTCTCAATGAACTTTGCAAATTTATTCAGTGTTACATCACATAAATAAAACACCTTTTCTTCCAAATTTTCCTCGCAGTGCCAGATCTCAGTCTAGAACTGTGCTCCTTCTCTTTAACCCTACTACATGAGTCTTATATCAACAGGTTTGTCTTTAGCAAATCTGTTTGCTGTATTTATAGATAAAGCAAACCCTAAATGCTATAAAATGCTGAAACAATTCTAGACAAAAATTTTGAGATACACACAGGTTTTGTGCTATGCTTTAATCTGAGTCAGTCTGATTGTATGTAGATTTTGATGCAGTTTCACTTCTTGCTGATATAGATCATACATTTGTAATCTTAGGTAAAACTAACAGTAAGCAATTACAAACTTTTTGAAGCAGAAAAATTCTGCTGGATTTAATGCCTCTCATGTCCTCAAGTTTCTCTCCTCCGTGATATAAAGATAATATTCTTCTGTGATATCTGGTTTCAGAAAATAGAAGAGTTCTGTGATACTTTCACTGTACTATTGAACCAATCATATTCACCACCAGTATTCATTTTATATGAAAAACTGAAATGTCCCATGAGTAAGTTCTGAGACCTTTTATGTGGTTACTGTTGCTAAGGAAACCACATCCTTGATATCCATGTGTCCAACATGTCAGTCTCATTTTGCATCTAGCTATCCATGAGCCAACACTGCAGTATGGAGTAAAAAAAAAAACAAAACAACAAAACATCAAAACTAAAAAAAGAGAGAGAGGTGAAATAAAAAATACAAGAAAAAAAAGCTGAAAACTGTTTCCTATCAGAATGTATTTTGCACACCTGTTGGAGTTAATTCCGAGTCCTTCCATGTTACGTCTGCCTTGGTTTTGATAGACAATAGTTGTTTGCAATAGGCTGAAAAACAGTTTGTATAAGCTGCAATAAAGGTTTCCCATAAAACAGCAAACTGTATTCTGTGCTAATCATCATCAGGCAGGACGTTGGTCCTTTCTGAAGTTCCAGTGAGGAAGATCAAATCCAAATAGGCATTCTTGAAAATATATTTCATACAATATTCCACAGCATCAAAAATAAATGATTGGCACTACAACAGAAACACAATGCTTTCTTTCATTTTAAATCCTTAATAAACTTTAAACAAACTTTTTTTTAATGAATTTATGTACTCATCACCATATTTACTAAACTTATAATGCAGCATGCTGAATTTTAATATACTGTAGAAACTTTTTATCTGAAAGTCTACTAGTGTTGTTCTCATGACAGTCTAAATGCTTTGGAAGCATAAGACCACTTAGTTTCTCAGAGGGCCAAGATGTAGATTTTTGGGTACCCTGCTCCTTGAAATTCCAAGAGCACTGGTGACTAATAGGTATTTACACTTCAAAAATCTCATTATTTTTTCAGATGTACCTACACTGACCAATGTGTCAAAGCAGTGTGTCAAAGACAAGAGAACCACCTCTAAAGAATCTACTGTATCTAAAAGCACAGTTAGGTGCTAGGAAGGAATACAGCATAGTTGTATAGTCTGTCTAGCCTATCCCTATGCCTAGCACAATTCCTTTCTGAAACAGTGTCATTATTTTAAATATATATATATAAAATATAAAAAATTTTTGGCCTGTACTGCCTACTTTTATTATCCTATGCTGTTTGGGTCTTTAGGGTCAAATATTGAGTAAGATCTGTGTTGTGCCAGTTTTCAGTTGGATTGTTAATATGGGTACGTGCTTCAAATCCTCATTTAGGGTCAGAGCACCGTAGGAAAATTCAGTTTGGAAGAGACCTCAGGAGGGTTCTAGCCCAACCTTTAGCTCACAGCAGGGCCAACTCTGATGTCAAGCGAGGTTGCTCAAGGCTGGTTGTGTCTCACCATGTCATGAAAACCTCCAAGGATGGAGCTTGGAGGCTGCTTTCCAGGTAGCTTATTTTATTACTTTACTGTATTCATGGTGAAAATGCTTTTCCTTTTCTCTTCTCTTGTTCCAGTTTGGGTCCTTGCCTCTCATCTTCCAACCAATGTGTTGCTGCAAAGAACCTGGATTAGTCTTCTTGATTACTACCCCATAGGTACAGAGAGGGCTGCTGCTAGGGCTACTGAAACTACATATTCTCCACAATGGACAAGTTCAACTCTCTTAGTCATTTTGCATGGGACAAGTGCTCCAGAATCTTAATGCCTTTCCTGTGCTGTGGGGCTCAAAACTGCACACACTACTCTATATGGCTGAAATATTTTTAAGTGGTTACATAAATCTTAGGATTAAGAAACTAATAACCAAAAATCACAGTAGAATTTCTCTCTCATTCTTTCACTCTTATGTGGTGCTGTAGGTCTGCCTAAGCATTAATTTAGAGATCAGAAAAATTCCTTCTCTATTACTGCTAGCTGGTCTGAAGTGACATGGAAAAAAGAAGATCTGGAATCCATCTGTGGTAACCTTCTTTGTGTGAAAATGGCATAAGAATGCAAATTTAAGCTGAAAACTAAAGGGGTAGCTCACAGAGACCGATCACAGGTCTACCAAGGCAGGAACTTCTAACTTGGCACCAGAATCCAAACAAATGCTTGGCATATTGCCATTAGCTGTAGTTTACTATGCCCCTCCTTCAGTGGTAAACTAATGAAATTAAGGCACATCAATTAAATTTCTCTCTGTGGCTCTTGTTCATTCATCTGCATATCCTGTTCAACCCTTTCCTAGGATGTGCAGTTAGCCTGAGTGCTAGCAGGCTCTGAAGCCAAAGACATTAAGCATGAATGTTATCATGGCTGGGCTTCGCGAATGAAGATTTGGGAAAGGCTCTATCCACATTTGTTACAAGCGTGCTGGTGGCTAATGAGGCAAATACGAGATAGACATGTCCGATTGCAAAAGGCACAGCAGAAAGACTCCTTAGATGGTGTATTCTGCAAGGCACGGTTCTTTCTGTATTGCCTTTTTTCCTCGAGAGTGATCCTGCGTGTGTTCTCGAAGGAGACAGCTGCGTTATAGATGGTGTGTCTCCAGACCTCCCAATTTGATCAATATGGCCAAGGCTGAGATGTTGCTTCAGGGAGTCCTTGTATCTTTTCTTCGGGGCTCCTCTCTTGCGGCAGCCAGTGGCAAGTTCACCATAAAGAAAGATCTTAGGGAGGCGGTGGTCCTTCATCCTTGAGACGTGTCCTGCCCAAAGCAGTTGAGTTCTCAGCAACATGGCCTCAATACTTGTGACTGCTGCTTGTTCTAGAACAGATGTATTGGTCACATAATCTGACCAGTGGATATTTAGGATTGTACGAAGACAGCGTTGATGGAAGCGTTCTAGGAGACGCAGGTGGTGGCGGTAGATGACCCATGATTTAGAACCATATAAGAGAGTAGACAGCACAATGGCTTTGTAAACACTGATCTTGGTACTTTTCTTCAAGTGTTTATTACACCATAGTCTTTTATGGAGTTTTCTGAAAGCACTATATGCCTTTGCTAACCTGTTGTCTATCTCCCCGTCAATCTTACCATCCGAGGAGATGAGGCTACCTAGGTAATTAAACTACTGGACTGATTTAAGCTCTGATTGGCCAATGGTGATATGGGGGTGATGGAAGACTTCTTGAGGTGCAGGTTGATAGAGAACTTCTGTCTTCTTTAAGTTGACTTCCAGCCCAAAGAGCTCAGCAGCGTCTGCAAAGCAGGATGTTAAATGCTGCAGAGCTGCTTCTGTGTGGGTAACAAGGGCGGCGTCATCAGCATAAAGCAGCTCCCGGACAAGATGATTTAAGGTCTTAGTGTGGGGCTTCAGCTGCCTTAGGTTGAATAGGCTTCCATCAGTACGATATCGGATGTAGATACTGTCCCGATCCTCGAGGTCTGCTGTGGCCCTTTGGAGCATCCTGCTGAAAAAGACTGTGAATAGGGTTGGTGTAAGAACGCAGCCTTGTTTCACGCCATTGGTAATTAGAAAGGGCTCAGAAAGTGCATCACCATATCTGACTTGGCCATGCTGATCCTCATGAAGTGAGATGATTTTAAGGAACTTGGGGGGACAACCTAAACATTCCAAAATCTGCCATAGACCTTTTCTGCTCACAGTATTGAATGCCTTGGTGAGGTCAACAAAGCTTACATAGAGACCTTTATTCTGTTCCCTACACTTCTCTTGCAGTTGTCTGAGACCAAGTACCATGTGGTACTCTTGTTGGCTCTGAAACCACATTGGCTTTCAGGTAGAATTCCTTCTGCTATAGTGGGTATTAATCTGTTCAAAAATATTCTTGCCAGAATTTTGACAGCAATGGAGAGCAGAGTAATACCATGGTAATTTGAACAGTCTGATTTAATTCCTTTCTTCTTATACAAAGTGATGATGACTGCATCACGGAGGTCTGATGGTAGTTCACCTAGTTCCCAACAGCGCACCACAAACTCATGAAATTTAGCATGGAGTGCATGGCCCCCATGGAATTCCTTTGGGTGGAATTCCATCAACCCCAGCTGCCTTGCCAATTTTCACCTGCTGTATGGCCTTGAGGGTTTCTCCTAAAGTGGGGGCAGCATCCAAGTCATTCTTCACCGCTTGTTGTATGATGTACTCAATTGCTGAGTCTTGAACATGGCTAATACTGAAGAGAGTCTGAAAGCGTTCAGACCATCGATTTAGAATGGAGGTTTTATCCGTCAGAAGCGTTTGACCATCTGTGCTTGGTATGTAGGCCCATATGCTGTTTTCAAGGCCTCATAGAATCCTTTGTGATCACCCGTATCCGTGCATAATTGAGTTTTTTCAGCTAGATTGATCCACCACTTGTTCTGGATGTCACGGAGTTTCTGTTGGAGCTTGCTGCATGCAAGACAAAAGGCTGCTTTTCTTACATGACAGGAAGGTAGTGCAAGGTGTGCTTGGTGGGCGGTTCTCTTCTTCCTCAACAATTCCTGGATCTCTTGATTGTTTTCATCAAACCAGTCCTTGTTCTTCTTGAAGGAGAACCCTAAGGATTCTTCAGAGAACTCCTTGATCCTGTTTTTAATATGGTACCAGAGTGTTTCAGGAGAGGGATCTATAGAATCTATAGAATGATTTTCGAGCCTAGTTTGAAGATTTGCCTGGAATCTGTCTCTCACTGTGGCTGATTGGAGATTGTTAACTTGGAGTCTCCTCCTTGGGATAGTGCCCCGTTAAGTTTGAACTTAAGATTGAAGTTAAGTTTTCAGCATACAAGTCGATGGTCTGTTTGGCATTCTGCGCTGGGCATCACGCGGGGATGGTGGACATCGCGAAAGTCTCTCCGTCACGCCATGACATAATCAATGAGATACCAATGCTTGAATCTAGGATGCATCCAGGTTGTCTTCAGACTATTTTTCTGTTGAAAGATAGTATTAGTGATGGTGAGCTGTTGCTCTGCACAGAATTCTAGCAGAAGGCGACCATTATCATTGCAGTTTCCAACACCATGCTTGCCTAATACTCCTTTCCAGGCTTCAAAGTTCTTTCCTACTCTGGTATTGAAATCATCAAGGGTAATGATCTTATCATCTGCAGGAACCTTTTGGGTAAGGTGGCGCAGGTCAGTGTAAAATTTATCTTTTTCGGCAGGGTTAGCTTGGAGAGTTGGAGCATATATACTAAAGAGGACAACATGTTGCTTGTTGTGTAGTGGAAGTCATAGGGAGATAATGCAGTCAGAATGACCAGTTGGCAGATTTTCAAATTTAGGAACAATAGAGTTTTTGATCATGAAGCCAACTCCCGAGAGATGCTTTTCGGTTCTGGGTTTACCTGACCAGAAGGGTGTGTAACCGGCACAGTGTTCTCTAAGGCTGCCTTCCTCGTGAAGGCGAACTTCACTGAGAGCAGCTATGTCGATGTTGAGACGTGATAGTTTTTGGGTGATTAGGGTAGAGCAACGCTCTGGGCGTCCACTATTCTCAGAATCAAGCATGGTTCTGATGTTCCAGCAGCTAGAGTCAGCTTTGGAGGCAGGTGTATGCCTTTGTCTCTTGATCTTTGTGTGACCACATTAGGAGAAGATTCCCATTGGCCGTGGTTAACCAACCGGGTGAAATGTGGAGATGAGCTTTGTTTAGGCCTCCTTTTCTAGGCCCCTCTCTGAGTGGAGCAAGCAGGGCTGTCCTCAAAAAGGCTGCTTGGTCGTTCAGGGTGCTGCCCCAAGAGACTGTCATCTCCGGTCAGTCTCAAATGACCAATATCCTGAACTGCCTGCATGCAGGGTTGGGTCTGTGGCTTCCAGTGCACCTTTCACCTGCCGTTTCGATCCTCACCCATCACTACAGGGCTTTGAGAATGTGGGTAAGGCCTTCGAGCCTGCACAATGGATTTTTTAGGTGAGATGCAGTATGCGCGGAACTGGGCCCACCCTTTAATCCTAAGGTTCATTTGTCAGGGCTGAGCGAGCTTGGACAGTGGTAGTGAGGTCCTCAGGACATAGGTTTGATTAGAGTGACCTTCTCTTAGATGGATGGCCTTACAGGGCTAAGTGAGCTCCATCTGCCCCAGTTTGGGATTAGAGTTGTCCTTCTCCTAGGATGACTACCAGAAGGCTAGCGGACTCATCCTGCCCATGGATATATTGTGTTTGACCGTGTGGTTTTGACCTGTCTGGCATGGGAGACCCTGCTGAAGGCATGTACCATCACCAGCATAGCTCGCAACCGCGAAGGGGTACACAGGCTTCTTTCCACTAAAGCGGATTGGGGCAAGCCATTCACTCTCCTACTTTTCTGCCACCCGTCTACGCACAATCTCAGGGAAATACCCAGGAATATCTCTTTGTCCTGACCATCCATTCAGGACACAGTAAATATATCCAAGACATACTGAACCTGGGCAGTAGCCGCAGGTGAGCCAAAAACAAATCGTTCCAGCCCCCGCACCCACCCGGGGCATTGGTGCTTCCCAAGGACCCAGCCTGGTTGAGACCTCCCAACCCCTCAGATGAACTCACTATCCACCCTGACCTTATCCTCCCCCCGTCATGTTACCACAGATCTTCCCATGCACTGCTCACCTGCGACACACCATACACTCCATACGGGACTGCCCCGAGGACCCCCACGGCCCACCCGACATCCCACCCCTCCCCCAAACCAGACCGCCAAACCTCTGTGTGGTCCGAGGTTCTCCCTCTTCTCTCCCACGAGGGCGCCGGAGGGAGCCGAGCGCCCGTGGTGCATGCCGGGGGGGCTGGGCACCCATGGTGCATACCCTAAGCATGAATGTTATACATGTATGCAAATAACAAAGAAAGGAACAATAGGTAAAACAACAGCACAGAACTGAATGCGCTAATGTCAAAGTATTGACAGGAGGTCAGACTAAGTAAATATGGAAATAATATGACTGTACAGAAAATTGCATAGTTATTAATTTCTTAAATTTGAAGGGCTTTGTTTTTTGATTCTTATACCATTTGCTAGGTCATGCAGCACTATTTCTGGAAACAAACTAGTGTACTCTTGATTTTGTTGAATACAGTAATTCCTAGGTTCCTATGTGAGATGATTGCCTAACACACCTCTCCTAAAAGTTTGCGTGTTTTAATTGGTTAGTATCTATCCATACTTCAAGAGCATACATTTATCAGAGGCAGTGTTAAAATACAGTTTCTTTCCCTGGCTGCACAACGAGGTGCACAGTGGTGCTTTACTATGTGACTAGGACTCCTAGGCATTATGATATTATAAATTATAGACCACAATAGAAAGGGCTTTAATGGTACACTTTGCATAATCTTAGTTAAGTGAACATGAATTGAAATGGCTTTTAATTTTACAAGCACAGTCTTTGTTGACATGATCTCTATTGTATGAATCATTTAGTTATGCAATGTTTCAGTAAACTTGTTTCTTTTTTTCCCTCTCAACACCTTCAGAATGCATTCTCCTCCCAAGATTTTTTGAAAACTTGTTTTATCTTTTCAGCATGTATTTATGTGAAACCTTTTTCCATCATACTTATGCAGGGGTTATATCTGAAGTGAATGATGTTAGCATATTCCCAGAGATTAGTACAACCTTCAAACTAAAGCAACTGCAGATGCTTAGCCCCAAGTTCCTTACAGGTTTTGCATTACTAAAATAGATTGTACAGGAACAAGGACTGTTGAATAAGGAGTGGAGAAAGGTCTCCAGTGTCAGAAAAATGTTAATACATGGCCAAATGGTCAAAAAATGGATTATATTATAGTAACAGAAGAGTTGTTTTCCATTACAAACACAGAAAGGTTAGGAAAATAAATTCATCTGCTTTTAGAGTCTCGGAAACTATGTGCTAAGACTAAATTGTTTCTCTTTTTCGAGTTTGCCTTGAAATGCTGGATGAACATAAAAATCTCTTATCCTATATGTGAGATGTTGGAAAATGTCCTCTAGAGAAAAAATGACATGGTATGGCAAACAGATGAGTAATAACTTAATGTTTTCTTCTCAACTGATGTTTCTTGCATAGGTTCCTATATCAGCAAAGGTTTCATTTTGAATATAAGACTTGGATAAAGCATTTCAACAGTATCTAGTTACAAACATCATGTTTCCTTTCATATTTTATGTTAAAACTACAGATTTCCTTTACTTCTCAGAAAATCCATAAAATAATCACAGACTTTGCCCCATTAAGTAAATCCTTTTTGAGAGTTAAATGTGAAATTTTTTTTCCCCACAGTTTTAAGTGAAACTAAAACCCATGTCCCACTTTTAAATAAGGTCTTTGGGATACTTTACAAGTTGTGGAAAAAATTGGGGAGCCAGTGGTTTTGGTTTCATTCCAACTGGAATGCCTAGTGACCATCTGCCAATTGAATTCAATCCAGCACTCCTTCCGTAGTAAAATAATCAATAGCAGTAGAAGTAATAGCTGAGTATCAAATTGAATAATGGCTTGTAGACTAACCTGATGACATCAGTATTCAATAATTCTTGAACCTTTCAACTCAGACTGAAGTTTTCAAACTTCTACTTTTGGCCAATATGCATTGGGCTTTTTTTCAGGTTTGTTTTTTTTTTATTTGTTTGACTTTGCCTGTAGTTTTTCTTAATTCTTTTCCAAAGTTTGAAGGAGAAAAAAGTTTAGGCTTTTCAAGTATGTAAAAATTGAGGAAAGACACTCTTGAGGGTAAACAATTATCATCACATTTTTTTATAATCATTCTACAGCCAAAACAGCTGGGGGATGAAAGTTTAAATTTGGCAGGAAAACAGTGCTAAGGAGAAGTGCTTTTGAGTGTTCTGGAGAAAATTGGTTTTGATGTGATTTAGTTATAGACTTTTGAAACTCCATGTCCTGAGCATGTAACACTAGTTTCTCATTAAGTTTCACAGGTATGTTCTTCAATGGAGAATTACATTAGTTTAGATGCAAAAGTTTCACCTCGGGACATATTTACTTTACATAATCTCACAGAAAACCTCTCAGCCCTCTGCAGTGGGGTATTCTCCAGAAATAAACATTCACATCAGATAAATGTGATTCTTTACTCCAGAACGAAAATAAAATAATCCAGAGTCCAAAATATTGCTACTAATTCATGTTATGATTTCAAGTTGACTGTAAGGCATTACTTTTGTGCCTATTACTCGGACAATAAAATAGTGTGCTTCACTTCTTTATTTGGGGTTTCAATCTTCTCAAAAGCTATAGTTTTCAGCCATGTAGTTTATGCTTTGAAAGTTGCAATATTTTTGTCTTTTAAGACATATCATTCTCTGACTCCTGAAGTGTTCTCTTACATAAAACAGATTGCTTGAAGGCACACAGATGACTTTAAATATTTTTGCACTTCACAGTGAATTGCTCATTCACCTGAGTGTTTAACTATGTCAGTGTATTCAACATTATCATATTTAATTGGATGGTTCAACAAGATAATATGCCAGTGCACACAGAATTCGATGTATTGTTGGCTCACAATAAATAAGGTAATTCTCAAATAAAACACAGGGGATTTAGTAAGAAGAAATTATGTATAATTGAGAGAAACACGAATGCACTGATGGTTTGCTAAAGGCTGATAACCTATCAATTCTTACAAATTTGAAAATCTGTAAATTTGTAAAAATAGGGCCATGAAAGAGAATGCATTTAAATACCGTAATTAGGACAGACAGCTGCAGTCTCCACCGTTGGTGAACCATTTCATACCCTGAGTTACATATGCAGAACATTTAAACTGACTCATTTGTTCTCTAAAGGTCCAAAGTTTTATATTTTAAAGTCATTGGTCTTATTTCTTAAAGGTCCTCCTTGAAGGAGGATGCTGGTGTCAGCAACGCAGCTATTTCTGTTTTCTGAAGCAATCTGCAGTCACTGATTGCCCTGATATAAGACCAGTGTTGAGCCAAACCCAAGAAAAAGGTATGTTAAGAAATGATGTTAACAGAAACAATTCCTCATCACTTCGTGAAACTTTTGCAAAAATAGACTATCAACATTACTCATAGATATCACTAGATCCGTCGAAAATAAAGCATAGCCTATCATAGTCTTTAGGCAAATAAAATTTTGCTTAGACTATACAAAAACGGGTTCTTTAACTTAGATGAGCAATAAAAATGTAACCAGGATGTTTAAGAAATTATTCCCTTTTCCATCCTTTCTACTGCACAAATGGATCATGTTCATTCTCAGTTAAAAAAAAAAAGGCAAGGGAAGAAGAATTTTTCAGCTAAACATCAAGCTATCCTGAAATCAGAGATGCTGCTTTTTGTCCTTGAGGTAGAGTTTTAGGTGTCTCATTCTGCTTGTCATCCACCACTCAAACTCCCCAGTAACATTATTGCTGCCGTGACGCACTAGGATTTTTTTCCTTAATATGTTGCTGAAATGAGTAAATGGCATCTGCATCAGGTGTATTATCAGAGTTGTGGAGATATGACAGTCTGAAGCGTGAGTAAAGTGTCCACAAAAATACTGCAATGGTATCACATCCATAAAGTATCAGGTTTGTGTATTTGATTTTCTGGCACAAAAAAGATTGGGGATTTTTTGAAAAATAGTTTTTTGAAAGCCTTTTTTTGTCTCAAAAGACAACTGAGAGAAAATTCACAATAAGAGCCAAAAATAAGACATATAATGTAATAAAATTGAGTATATGCCTGTAAAAGCTCAGAGTTGCAGCCACAGATAAGTGTACAGTGTTCATGTCATACTTTTTCCCCTATAGTGTTCATTTTATATCATTGTTTTTTGAATAGAAGGTGTTTTAAAAATAAAATTTATTGCATATACAGACTAGAATAAGACACACTAGGACATGAATTGGTAGACTGTTAATATACTTCTTAGTCAGTCAAAGGCTCAATAATGAAATGTATGTGAGTTGTGTAGCATAGGATACTGATGGGCACTGAGCTTACTGCTTTGTTCTCTGTACACTCTGGGTGCCACATGTAAATAAGTCTACTGCAGACATGAGTGTATTTATGTATTATGCCATGTCATCTATGTCAGATATGCTGTGAACTCTCTCTGTGTACATACATACATGTAGGTATGTTCACAGAGGAATATTTCAGCTCTTAAAACTTGCTGGAACATTTCAAATGAAACCACTTCTGACTACTTACCAGCAAACTTTATTGATCTCTGCAAAATATTTACTGATGTTTAGATTTGCCTTTTACACTATATGTCATGGACAAGTTCCTTCAAACAGTATATTTAACACAGTCACATCCAGCATCTTGCTACTGAAGTTCATCCTAATTCCATTTCGTTTCACAGGTCAGAATGTTGAATTGACTTACCCTTTCAGATTTACCACATCATATCTACTTCTGTTTAATGAGTTCATTTTGAGCAACTGCATCTGAAATTCTATGCATCAGAGAAATATTTTGGGGACTTTTTTTCCTACTTCACTCAAGAAAAAGAAGCAATTGTTGCATTGGTATATTCTAGGTTAAGCTACACATCCATACAATTCTAAAGTTTGTTTTTTCCTTTTTATATTTTCTTCAACAGAAGACATTGGAAGGAAATTTCTAACTATCAAAGAAGTAAGATTTTGAAACAACTTTTTGAGGGGACAAGGAAAAAATTAGTCACCTTTAAAAAAGATTCATAGTCAGCCTAAATTAAGGAGTATTAATCTTACAATAAAAGAAGACAAAATGCATTGACTTAAGAACTTCTTTTATACATGTTACTGCTGTGGCTCATCTAATAGTCATGTATTAAGATTTCTATCATGCTCAAAATTCAATTACAAAACTTGTATTTTTATGATACAGTTTTTTTAAAACAGGTGCCTTCAGCACTTACATGTTCTATTGGTAATTTATCTGTAAACCATGAAAACCTTTACCCTCTTTTCCATCATTTTCTTCTATTCTTCCTATCTTTATCTGTTTAAATAAGTAATTTCATACATATTTGAAATATATATAGGTATGGATACTGTATTAGTTAGAATCATGACTCAAAATTTTTCAGTAATAGATCCAAAATGATGCAGTACCCTGTCCCAATCAAGTTAAATCCTTATATAAAAGCTATCTTCTGCTTCTCTATCTGACTTATTATTAGTCACTTGCATCACCATTTAGAATATTCAAAAATTAGCAGTGAGAATTCAGTTCAGTGACTTTGATTATCATTAACTAGTCAGATGGATACATGACTAAAAATCTGTCATAGCCATTTTAACCAGTAAATTTCTCAGTTTTTCATTCACCTGATATAAGTAGTCTGGGAGATCTAGGAGGTGATTTGGAGATACCATGTAAACAAATATAAATCTTCATATTATGTCATAGTGTTCACAACCTCTTTATCAGCATTTTTGAACTAATCCTCTACCCTAAGGTCTTAAAAATAGATTAAAAACTTTTGCGGAGAATTGGGATAAGTAGAATTTTAGCTTAGAAGGTCAGCTGATGAGTTTTTTTTCTTCTTTAGCAGCTACAGTCCTTCTAGATTGAAAACTGAGAAATTGGAAAAACGGGATATATGTTAACAGCGTTTTGCCTGTTCTTTCCCAAAATGTTGTCCTGGGTATGTCTGAAACATGTTTGGGTCTGTAGCTGAGATCAGAAGATGCACTGAAAGGTGGAAACACTTTATATGTATTTGTATAGAGATGTTCCAGGCAATCCCCACACTGTGGCTCGTTCAAGAAATTAAATAAAAGTAGGTGAGAGAAGGAAGGGAGGGGAATCAAATCAATTTCATAATCTAGGATTAGATGTGATTGATCATTGCTTTTGGTAGCTCGCAGGGAATTTTTGATATTTTGTAGTAAATTAATAAATAAACAACACACTATCAAACAGAAATTTGGCAGAAGGCAGTCTGGATCAATTAATGTCAGAAAACAAAACTGATATAGTAATGAAACACCTTTTAAAAGAACACTTAGTATGTGTGTCTTAAGCTTTTAAACAAGCCAAGAATTTCTGAGGTTAAACAGATCTGATACCACCTTATTTTAATTGAATGCATTATATTTTTAATACACATTATAGATTACAAGTTCCCCTCTACTTAGTTTGTACTAGTTTTGTCTCTGAAATGGGACTTGCAGACTAGCTGCTCTGAGCTACAGCCCAGAGCCGTAGTGAGAGGTGCAACTGCAGTTGCTTAAGCAATTTTTTAAAAACATGTTATATAACAGTTTATCCTTGGCAAGTAAGAGACATTTAAAGAGGTGAATGAAGTGGTCAAAACAGGTCAAAGTCAGTAACTCCAAAATTATTTTTTCTCCATTACCGAATTGGACACCACCACCAGCCCTGGATGAAAAGAAATTCTAGATCACCTTGGTGTTCATATTTTCCAATATCAATATAAGAAGGGTAGGCAAGAAAAATTGCAGACTGAATCTTTAGACCAGGTTTCTGCTGGTGCAACATCACAGAATCAGCTGATGTGAAGACAACAGATCTTGACTCAAAGTAGTGTATACAATCTACATTTTAAGTATGCCCAAATAATATGTGGATAGACACAATACACGTACATATACTAACATATTCACTTCAATACAAATAAAGTACATAGTATATAGGTTAGACATTTTTAAGACCAAAGATATTTAGAGGTTTATATTAACATACTCATCCTGTTGGGACTATCGGGAGACAGAATTTGAAGTAAAGAGTACATGCAGAGATTTGGATTTGTGGAAGAGACTCTGCATCTACCATAGAAAATATACATCATTAAGAACTCTGTCACTATGTATTAACAACACGTGGACATCTCCCTTTGATCATCAGCCTGAGTGCAAATCACCCTCATATCAAGGTTTTAAGCAATGCAAGTCTATGCTCCCAGCTTCTAAAAGAATGTTTCAGTCACTGCAAATTAAATGGAAGACTAAAACTAACTTTTGTGGCTACGCAGTAATAGAAAATCTATTTATGTTATTTTACACCTCTATAGGAGAGGGTGACAAGCCTCAAGTTAAGGAAGGAGCCCAGCGCTTGTACAAAAGGAAGAAGTGTCCCATCTAAAATGCCTGGCTCTTTAAGATGTGGCTTTCTGGCTTTTGAATGTCATTCCAGCGCTGTTGTTCCACTCTTGCTAGAGGATTGTCAAAGTGATGTCATGCAGAATCATTTCAGTTCTTGAAAAATGTCCTCCCTGTAATATTTTATCTCTTCCAAATGACACTTATTCTTAACAACTCACTGAAATATTTATCCACTTGAGACTAAGATTATACCCTATGAAATGAAGGCTCTTTTGAAATCCTACCTCTTCCAAATCAACATGTGCTACAACCAGAAAAAAAAAGAAATTTGAGCCTAAGCCAAAGGAGCAACACTGGAAGGCCAAATCAGAGGACCTACACATACAATACAAAGCTTGATTAAGTATTTAGTACTTTCCTGAACTTCATGTTACCCAGGGCACCTTATGTGTCTTTTCTATTGGTCTCCCATCTTTCAGTCTATGTCTTTATATTTTTGTTTTTCTCCATTACAGATGCCATTACTTATAATGTATGATCTGTATTAACAAATCAACAAAGCAGCCTCTACAGTTAGTACATTTTTCTTTTTCTGTTAATCTTTTCAATGGTGTAAGTTATATAGATACTACAAAAATATTTAGAGTAGCTCAGGCATTGCAGACACATGCACATAAGTGTATAGAGAGAGCCACACATACTTGTCAGACATTCAGAAAAATGAGTAACGCAGAGTTATTGTTGCATATCTCATATTGGGCTTCTTATCTCCATTATAACAGCTCAAGAGACACGCCCAAAGATGCTCAGAAACTCAGGCTCCTTTCACATTTTCAGGGCTTGTAGTTTGATGAATTTGCTCTTTTAGTCCCCTGAACTCCTTTGAAAACTGGAACACTAATGTTGTTCAAGCTTTGTATGTCTGAACAATTTTTTTTCCCCCAGGAAGGTCAGACTTGACCTATGAAGTCAATGGAAAATGGAAATTTCCTAAACATGTTTGCCAAGAGTGGTTGTTGAAAGATATTTTAATTAAAAAAATAATCAGGTAGTGGTACTCATCCACCCATATTTGGGACAATCTGTCATAATTGCCCTAGATGACCAATTTAGGTACAAAGGAAATGTTTTAAAGAAATTATATCTTTCAGAAATTACTATTCTTTTGCTCTCATATGCCTATCATTCACTTTTATTGTGTTGTTGAACTGATTATCTTCAGCTTCTGATGTGCCAAAGTAGAATACAAATGTATTACCTGCTCTCTAAGATTCTCTGGGTGGGCTTTATCTCATTTAGTGTCAATCATCCCAAAGTTGGTATCTGCTCCCATCAAAGCTCAGAGAGGATGGCTCTATAACCAGTAGCTTACAGCTACACACTGCAATCCAGCCTACATTGTGTATAGTTGAGGTTAGGGGCGCTGAATCTGCAACTCCGCATTATGCAAACAGGACTGTCATGTGGAGATTTGGATATCATTCAATTTTCTTGCCTTAGAAGTATGCAGAAGCAAAAAACCCTACTCATCAGGTTTCCAAACCATGGAGATTATATATTTTGTTTCCAGGTTCTGGGCTGTTCTCCCTGACACCCGTATATTCCCCAAAAGCCTCAGGTTTCACAAAAAATTAGGTTCTATTCCAAAGTCTGATTTTGTTGTCTATATTAATCATGTTACAAAGCCATTTTATTACTGTCCCAGGATCATTTCCAGCCTATAGACATTACTTCTCCTGGGGATGCCAAGACGCTCATACGTTTGTCTTTTATTTCTCACCTGGGTTATTGTAATTCATTACTTGCTGGTTCACTTGTCACTTTTTGTTTTAGTTGCTTACAGCTGGTGCAAAATTTGGCGGCTTGATTGTTTATGAGATTTCTAATTACATTACTGCAATAATGAAATAGTTTCACTAGCCACTTGTGAAACAGCAGATTGCTTTTAAGAGTTTACTCCTAACAAATAAATACGTACAAAAGGCCATTTGTTGCTTGTGCCGTTATAAAGTGAACGTTTCCTTTATTCTGACTGTCTTTTGAATGATGGGAGTTTCAGCTCTTAAATTGTTGTTCTGTATATCTGTAACACTTAGATTTCACAGCGTCCTTATTAGCTAAGTATTACTTTCTCAATTTTTATGACCTATTTCTTTTCCCTACTCCTGGTGATTTATTCTAAAACTTATCTGGTACCAAACAAAGATATATGTCCATATATTCACTGATATCAGACAGTGGAACATTATTTTGATTAAGTACTAAAGCCTTTTCAACTCTGCCATTTCAAGATGGCAAAGGTAGTGATGTGGTCTGTAGCCTATCACTTGTCCTGAAAGGGGTTTCTAACAAAGCAAGGCTGAAATAAAACAGCACTGAAAACTAAAAGAAAAAAAAAAACCAACAAAAAAAAATCCCACCAAAAGTAACCCAAAAACAACCACAACTATTTTAAACAAAATTAAAGAACATGTGATTAGAATTTAAGATTATTTTCCCTGAGTTTTCAGGTTCATTTGAATTAAAACTTACAGGAAAGGGTAGACTACAGTTACCAAAAAAACCAAAAAATAATGCAGTTCCTAGGTTCATTTACAAATGAAACCTTGAAGAAACCTCTATGTAAGCACAGCAGCAATGCTTTATTTCATTTGCTTACAAAAAGCTCCCTGCAATATTTAACTAGCCAGTAA